TTTTTCGAACCGTTGAACCGAACCGAAACTCCGGTTCAAAGACCAAAAAAACCGCTTCCAACGCTTCAACCGAACCAATCCAAAAGTGCAAAAACGGTTCGAACCGCTGAACCGAACCGACCAAATTTTTCATCTGGTTCACGTCCCTGGTAATAACTATCCTTGTTGGTTTTCCAGGGATTTAATACAGGTTACCAAACGCAAGAAAGAAGCCCACCATAACTACAAGCGGCAACAGACCAGACACTGATACGAAACGTTTCGTTGTTTAAGGTTCGAGGCCAAACAACTTAGTGCAAGGTGTTACAAAAATTACATATCAAATGGTGAAAATGTTTTGAAATCTACTCCGTCAGAATTCTGGAATTTCATTAAAAATAAGAAAAATAACGATCTCGACACACCATCGACGATAACCTGGGACAAACCTACGGCGAAGCGCGGTCCTGAATTAGCCATCTCTTTGCCTCCTTTATGAGTGTTTATTCGACTGACCAAACCACCGCCTCGGTGTATAATGCTATAATTACTGATTGTAACGATCTTAGTTTGTCCAGCTTGGAGGTAATATTCGACGAAGTATTTGATAACGTTTTGGATCTAGATACAAAAAAAACGGGCTGGTCCGGATGGTCTGCCTAACCAACTATTAAAATATTGCGCTTCGCGGCTATGTGAGCCTATTACACATATTTTCAACAAGTCCTTGCAGACTGGTTACTTCCCCTCCTCATGGAAGTTATCCTTTATATGCCTCATACACAAGTCCGGCTCAAGATCGGAAGCAGATAATTATAGACCGATATGTGTGCAATCACCATTAGTAAAACTGCTAGAGAAGATTATACTATCCAAATTATCTTCTCTACTTGTACTCTCATCCAATCAACATGGCTTCATCGGTGGAAACTACCACAACGAACTTGCTTTTGTATGTCAGCCACATAATCAACTCGACCGACAAGATCCCTGTTATTTCCTCAGTACCTGTACCTCAGGCCTCGCACCGTGGCCCTGCGCTTTTCAACATCTTTGT